AAACCACCATCAACTATATTTTTATTCCTTTACCTCAGGGGTTTTTTTCACTGCTGGTCGGATTTGTGTTTGATCGCTTCCCTTGACAATGCCTGTAAACATGCATTAATTAAATTATTATTCTATTGTATTAGTGTAATTGGAATTTATTAATCTATTCACGTCTCTTATTAATGAACGGCAATCGGTGGTGGTTATCTACTTTGATCTTAGCAGAGCCTTCGAAAAGTTGACCCATAAACGTATTTCGATAACATTGGAAGCTCTCGGCGTCCGGCCTCCTCGACTCGACTTCATCAGGTTCTATTTGTCCAACCGATATCACAAAGTCATGACCGGTAATGGCTACTCGACCCCTCACTCGATCAGGACTTTCGGTTCTGGGTCCTCTAATCTTTCTTCTTCACATTTATGATGCTTCAACTTAACTCAGAAATCCGCAAACATTTATTTATGCCGGTGACCTCAAGAGTGTTTGCTTATATTCTAAGGACACCGAAAATGTTTATGTTGAATAATTAATGCCGGTTTACTACGCTCAAGCAGGTGGAGGTTTCAACATCCGAGTGTAGTTTTCTGATTTGGCGCTGCCAAACTTCCTGGGGCCCTAATTTTTCAGAAAAACCCACTCTCAGACCGCTTCATCATAAAGAACCCAGGTCTAATTTTTAAAAATAAACTCGCTATATCACCTCATTTAGATGTAATCTCTTCCTAATCTGCACAGATATGTGGGCTCATATCTTAAAAATTTTCCCTCCGGAAATGAAGCTAAGACTTTCTCAAATGTTTTTTTCTTCCAGTCCTCAAATACTTCTGTCCTTTCTTGGGTTTAATGGACGTCTGTGACTGCTATAAGATCGAAAAAGTTCAGAGGGTTTTCACCCGGAAACTGTTCTCTCAATTTGCACCTGGCACTTCATATACTCAGAGATATCAGTTGGCGAACATTAAGTTTTTGTATGTTAGAAGACCCGAATCTTGCCTTTGCTTCCTTTTTCGCATTAACTCTAACCCTAATCTTCCGCTCATTGACAGTATCACTCCAATAGATCGGTATTATGCCACACGCAAAGCCTGAATCGTGATTCCGCCGCCTCTTTGCACTACATCTAAGCGCTCCCTCTCCTTTGCTTCCATATATGCCTTTCTTTGGAATAATCTTCTGCCAGAACTTAGGTTATCGGCTTAGTTACCGGTATTCAAGTCGAAATTACGCAAACATCTTACACCGGAAAGTATGAAGACACTTTTAACGATCTCATTCCCGAACATTCACCTTCTGGATTTCGAGAAGGGCCCCTGGTATTTAGTAGTAGAGCAAGTGGAAACGCCTGTTTTTAATTGGTTTATTAATCTACTGCAATCATTCCTCCATAGCGAAGATTTTCGCGGTTTATGTCATCTCCCCATTTCGACCTCAAGCGACCTGCCGACGCTCACGGCGGAACCCTCTGTATTCGACGTCTATTGGTAGTTTGGTCGTATTGCCCTTGCCTCCTCCTCGGATAGGATCAAAGCGGAGTGTGGCCCATCACGTCTGTGTTCCTCTCGTCTGGCCTCTTTGACGCGAATAGCCTCATTCGGCGTATCAATCCTGCCCTGACGATGTCAGTTCTGAATCCCGTATACAATACCACATGCAGGCCAGTACTGTCTGACCCACATGCGCACCCCTCAAGGCTGACATTTGTTTCTGCCCTGACGATGTCTGCTTATAATCCGTAATACACTAGCACATGCAGGCCGGTCCTGCCAGCATTTTTGTTCTTTCATGAACGACAATTTTTTGTCCTGCAATGTTAATCCAGTAAATTTTTACTCTACAATGAATTTTTTTACTGTGTAACGGACGATTGTTTTGAACGAACTTTTTGTTCCTACCCCCTGCTCAGAATTTGTGGTTTCATGGACTTGAATTGACGCATACCAACCCGCCGTTCCGCTAAGTCCCTGTTTTCGTTTATTTTTCCCATATCAGACAGTTTTGATATTCTTTTTGTTATTTTCTATATCGAGGCATTAACTTTACGTACGAATCGTTTTTACGTATCATTCCATTGACCTGTGCATTTTACCGAATCCTTAACATTCACGTATCAATTTGCCGCTATCAGATTTAAATATACTTGGTCCATTTTATCCTGCATTTTATTTTCGTTCCGATAGTAAATCATTTGCTATCTAATCTTTTATATTTTTCTGTGTCTACGCCGCATCTATCCTTTACCAGCATGTATGAAGTCATAGCGCAATTTTTGAAAGGATTAGCTCTGACTTCCTGACCTGCGGAGTCATGATCCCCATCTCTAGCCTTTGATGTCTACGAATATTTACACACGCCACCCTACCCGACCGCTACAATTGTTCGCTCCTCATTTTTTACGGACTTCTTATTCAATAACTATATATTGCATTTTGTACAGATCCTGCCTAACTCGTCTAAAATTCATATGAAAATTTATTTTTACTTGTTACGAAGGGACCTCATTGGGTCTTTAATCAAGATTATTTTATTATATTCATTTAGTAAGCGTTACATTTTCACTCCCATCGTATTCTGTGAAGCCCATGCTTCCTATTATGGCGTCGTGTGTTCCAGTAGGCAATGCAACCTCGACACTGGCCGTTTTATCGGCGAAAACAATTGCGCAAACCCCACTCAGGTGTTTTGCCTTATCGTCATTTTCAGTAATGTTCTAATTGTCTTCTCCTTTCAACACCGAGACCGCCTCTATGTTTTTTGACCTGCTGTTAATGCAGCTGAAGAGTACTTATGGCCTATCAATGGCCCGTTAAATAACTCGCGTTTTTTACTCCTTCTGCGACCTGAGGATATTCTATCCTACCTCATTTCGCTTTCGGGGAGACTGCTCATAATGCAATGGCTGCTTTGTTGTTACACACCTTCCACAGAGTTTACTAATCCACTTTCTTATATATTGCGTTAACCAGACGGAATGATTAACTTTTGGACTATATTTGCTGGACAGCATCGATGCACAGCGATGCTTGTAACTCCTTTGCTAGTGTTCTTATCAACATCTGGTTGTCGGTTAGAACGTTTTATCAGTTCAATATCGAAATGCACACATACGAAACTAGTTTGCTTTGGCAAACCAATAGAGAAATGTGCACCCATACCTGGGGGAATAAATACCGCATTCGACAAAAAGAGAATGGCAAGTGACGAGGCGCAGGTCAATGGAATGTTTTAGCAGTAACCGAGACCTGGCTGTCCGGGAATATTAGCGATAGCGAAGTAGCCTTGCCTGGATACCAAATTTATCGAAGGGACAGGGAACATCGTCAGGGTGGTGGTATCGTTGTGTATGTGAATGAGGGCCTGGCAGTGTCGGACAACACCACCAACTTTGCGTGCGACACGGAAGCTATTTGGTTGACCATCAAGGCTACCGTTTCCCCATGTCTCGATGTCCTCACTGTCTACCGACCACCTCGGACAGACCAAATCGCCGACACTCAACTATTGGAGCAGTTGGAGAAATTTTCCCGTCGACCTAACATCATGATCATGGGCGACTTCAGCGCACCTGGAACAAACTGGAATACCCTCCAAGCGTCAGGTCCAAAATCGGCATTCGATTACCGTCTACTGAACAAAACATTAAAGGCATCCCTCACACAACATGTAATGTTCCCAACGAGAACACGTGAAGGACAAAGGGCAAACTGTCTGGATCTGGTTTTTACGAAAACACCAGACAGCATAGACGAGATCACCTCCATGCCGCCCCTTGGCCGAAGTGATCACGTAGTGCTTTTGTGGGATTATTCGTTATTCTCCATTTCACATACTGCAGACCACAAAAGACGGAATGTATGGCGGGGCGACTTCAATCAGATGAGGGCAGACTTATCCGGTCTCGACTGGGGCTCACTGTTTACGGGAAATGCCAACGATGATTGGGAGCTGTTCAAGAATGTCCTTCTGCAGCTAATTAACAATCACTGCCCACTGACTAGTGTAAGACTGAATAAACGCCCTGGATGGCTAAATAGGAACCTTAAGAAAGAAATCAACAGGAAGCACAAATTGTGGAGAAAATACTGCGTCACTGGGCAAGTTGAATATTTCAACACCTACAAGACACAGAGGAACAAACTAAGGAACCTGATCATAAAGACGCGGCGGGAATTCGAGAAGAACTTGCTACAAAAAGCAACGCAGAATCCAAAATTACTCTACAGTTACCTCCGACGACGTACAAGGAACAGGCATAAAATTCCCTTAATAAGGACTTCTGATGGCGTTGAGATTGCTGATAGTAGAGATAATGCTTCGTATTTTTCACAGTTTTTCCAATCAGTCTACACCAACGAGGCAAGGTTCCTTCCTCCTTCCACAGAAAAACTGCCGACTCCAAGCGTCAGTGATATGCTCTTCTCAGAAGGCATTGTCCGAAGGGAATTAGAGGAATTGAACGAATCGAAGTCGCCAGGACCAGACGAGATTCCATCCAAGCTTCTCACGGAGCTTGCCAGTGAGCTATCTGTGCATTTGTCGATGCTCTTTCAAACGTCATTTGATACTGGAACACTTCTTATCGATTGGAATCTAGCGAATATTACTCCGCTACACAAAGGAGGTAACAGGGCAGCGACGACAAATTACAGACCCATAAGCTTGACATGCATTCGCTGCAAATTTATGGAAAGGATCATAAAGAGCGAACTGATGCAATTTCTGGAAGTCAACGGCCTGCTATCGAGATGCCAACATGGGTTCCGGAAAGGAAGATCCTGCACGACAAACTTGCTGCAATCTCTCCAGAGCTGGACCCGAGCTCTCGACGAGAGACACGCGGTCCACATAGCCTTCATAGACTTCCAGAAGGCGTTCAACACTGTGCCACACCAGAGGATCTTACATAAACTCAAAAATAGGGGTCGGTGGCAACTTCCTTAAATGGATCGAAAACTTCCTTGTGGGTCGACACCAGGTTGTGTGCATCGGTCGGGGAAAATCAGATCCGGCTATGGTCGAGAGTGGTGTCCCTCAGGGTTCAGTGCTGGGACCCATTCTGTTCCTTATATACGTGGACGATGCCGCAAGAGCTTTGGACTGCGAAGCAGCAATGTTTGCCGACGACATGAAGATCTGGAGTGTAATTCGGTGTCCTGCCGACGAAGACAGACTACAGATGAACCTGAATCGGTTGGAGGAGTGGTCAAACCGTTGGCTCCTGCGGTTCAACGTTGCCAAATGTAGCATACTTCGCCTAGGCAACACAGCCAGATCGGCCAGCACAAGAGGCTACTTTCTGGGCGGTGAAGCCCTACAAGAGGTCGAAGCCCAAAAGGACCTCGGTGTTCTGACGACAAGTTCTCTAAAGCCATCCGCCCATTGTTCGAGGGTCGCAAAAAACGCAATGTCTGTATTGTACGCCATCAAGCGTGCGTTTATGGACTTTGACGAAGATGCTTTCTCAAAGACATTCGGAACATTCGTTCGGCCGCATTTAGAGTACGGCATACAAGCCTGGAGACGGTGGGCTGTTGAGGATCAAAACTGCCTCGAAAGAGTCCAGAGGAGAGCCACGAAGATGGTTAGGGGTCAAAGCTACTTTCCTTATGCAACCCGCCTAGTAAATCTGAACCTCTTTCCTTTGAGTTACAGGCAACTTCGCGGGGATCTCTTGCAAGCCTTCCGCATGGTAAAGGGGTTGGATTGCAGCTAGCCTTCGAAGACATTTTTGAATTTGCTACCACGACCAACCTACGAGGTCACCCGTTTAAATTGCGCACCCAGCAAGCAAGGCTGGATGTGCGGAAGTTCTCCTTCTCTGTTCGAGTGGTCAAACCCTGGAATGCCCTTCCCGCAGATGTTGTGATGTGACCATCTATACAAAGTTTTAAAAAGAATTTGGACATATTTATGTTGCGAAATGACTAAGAGCGATGAGAAGCAGGGCTCACACACTGTAACTCGTTCTCATTTTGTCCTATCACTATGGGCGTGTTTGAACTATTTTAGCCCAGAACATTTATCTGTATACCACACATTTTTTGCGTTGTAAATAGGGTATTCAAAGGCTTACGCCAATTTCCCTCAATAAACTGAAATGAACTGAACTGAACTGAATGATACGTAAAAACGATTCGTACGTAAAGTTAATGCCTCGATATAGAAAATAACAAAAAGAATATCAAAACTGTCTGATATGGGAAAAATAAACGAAAACAGGGACTTAGCGGAACGGCGGGTTGGTATGCGTCAATTCAAGTCCATGAAACCACAAATTCTGAGCAGGGGGTAGGAACAAAAAGTTCGTTCAAAACAATCGTCCGTTACACAGTAAAAAAATTCATTGTAGAGTAAAAATTTACTGGATTAACATTGCAGGACAAAAAATTGTCGTTCATGAAAGAACAAAAATGCTGGCAGGACCGGCCTGCATGTGCTAGTGTATTACGGATTATAAGCAGACATCGTCAGGGCAGAAACAAATGTCAGCCTTGAGGGGTGCGCATGTGGGTCAGACAGTACTGGCCTGCATGTGGTATTGTATACGGGATTCAGAACTGACATCGTCAGGGCAGGATTGATACGCCGAATGAGGCTATTCGCGTCAAAGAGGCCAGACGAGAGGAACACAGACGTGATGGGCCACACTCAGCCTCGATCCTATCCGGCTATTTTGTAGTTGAAATCACGTGAATACAGAAAATTGGCCGTAACATCAATTAGCCGAGCTGATCGAGGAGCATTTTTTAACAGAAATTTTTAAGAACGTTTTTGTTTCACTGGCGATCAGGTGAACAAGGGAGTCGAAAGGCCTACATTCTTCAAAGGGAATATCGGAAGTGTTCCCGTCGAATAAATTCCCAAGAATTGACAGCAGAATGCCAAAATTTAGCATAAAGTCATTGCAGTTGTCAAGTAAAGGCAGATTAAGCTGCCGACCAATTACGACGGGTGACGACTGACTTGTAATTTCTTCTGACTTAGATTTAGGTAAGCTTTCTGGATTAGATTTAGTTAAGCCTTCTGACTTCGATTTAGTTAAGCCATGCTTACATACAGAGGCCGTTTGATTGTAGCTCTTCACGCACGTTGGCGGAAAATACTAAATGTTAAGTGTGGAGCAGCCATAGCATAATGTCCAACGAACACTGGTCAAAGGCTAGTTGTGGACTGTATGTATGTATGTATATTGAAGGGTTACAGGCAGAGCCCTTGATGACCCTATTTATGTACAGTGCTTTCGCAGATTCATACTCAAAAGCAAAATAAAATTGCGGGAATTTAAAATGTGATTGGGTCACAGTTCAATCGTAATCATAAGGTAGTGCATGGGGTCACTGAAATTAGTGCGGAAGATTGTATATGACAGATTTTAAAAAACTGGCTGTGCATAGTCATGCTGTACAAGCCGTTTTCTGTCGAAAACTAGACGAGCAAGTTTTCTTTTAAACACACAAACTGTATCAGCCGTCACCATCTCGCTTGGAAGCGAGTTCCACGGCCTGACAACCCGCTGGCTGAATGAATATTTTCGTCGGTCTAAACGCGTGCGCTCATTCCTGACTTTGTATGCATGGCCGCGTAGTTGGTTTGTACGGGCGAACTCAAAGAAGTCCTCTGCTCTTAATGAGCAACACTGGCCGCGAACAGTCCGGAACGTCCAGAGTAGACTGCAGTTTATTTGTCTATAAGAGAGAGGGAGTAGGCCAAGCAAAGTCAGCCTCTCCTGATAAGACTACTTTTTCAGACCGTCGACCATCTTTGTCGCTCTGCCTTGCACCTGTTCGAGTAAGTTGATATCCTTCCTCATCCATGGCGAAGCTGCTGGCATTCCATACTCTAGATGAGGTCTTACAAAGACACCAAAGAGTCTTTCGAAAAGTTCGGGAGGAAATATTTTAAATGCACGTCTGATCCAGTGTAGAGTACTAGTTGCCTTCTGGACCATCTTTCTACACTGTTCTGATGGGGATAGATTTGTGGTCGTCCATACACCCAGATCTCTGTGTCTTTCCACAGTTTCTAACCTCGTCCCGTCAATATAGTACTGGTGTTTGGGAGAGGCATTGCGGCCGGTGTTCAGGTGCAAAACCACGCATTTAGACACGTTAAACTTCAAAAGCCATCTGTTCGACCAAGCAAACAGTTTGTTGATGTTCGACTGCAACTTCTCTGCGTCATTATCACACTTGACTTCACTCCATATTTTTATGTCATCCGCGAACATGAGAGCCTCGTAATTCACTTCGCTGATGCAGTCATTAACACAAATTAGGAAGAGTACTGGGCCTAAGACAGAACCCGTTTGGACACCACTTTCCACCTTTACCCATCCCGAGGTAGAATTACTAACGACGACTCTTTGTAGTCTGGAGGACAGAAAACTCCCGATCCACTTAAACATTCTCCCTTGAATCCCTACACCCCAGATCTTTTGTAAAAGAAGCCAGTGTGAGACACTGTCAAAGGACTTCTTGAAGTCAAAAAATATGACATCTACTGGAAAACCCTTATCGGTAGCTCGTGTCCATTTCTCGTGCGAGTAAAGAACACTCGTTAGGCAGGAGCGCCCTGGACGAAAGCCGTGTTGGGCATCGCACAATATTTGTTCTGTTCCAGGTATTTCATCAAGTGTCTTTTGATAATGCGTTCCATTATTTTACACGCGATGCAAGTAAGACTGACAGGACGATAATTTCCGCAGCCAAGTCTTGAGCCTCCTTTTTGGATCGGAGTAATGAGTGCGCACTTCCATTCTTCCGGCAGCTCGCCGTCTTCAAATGACTTTTGAAATATTGCGGATAAGGGTTTGCACAGTTCATTAGCAAGTTCACGAAGTGCTAGGGCGGGAATTCTATCTGGGCCAGGCGATTTGGCAGGTTTCAGCCGGAGTAGCTCGGACCTAACTATGGTAGATGAAAAGAGTGGTTCCTCGGTTAAGGAGAGTAGGGAGGGGATAGGAGGGGGAAGGGTACTGGGCGGAACGGTTGGTCGGCGAATGGATGGATGGGCAAATATAGCACTAGGTTCTCGGGTGAAAAGGGACTGAAAGAAGTCGGAAAGGAGGGACGCTTTAACCTGGTCATCAATCTCCACTTTTCCATCTGCAGACCTGAGGGCAGGGATGAGCTCCTGAGTCCTTTTAGTACTTCGTATATAACCATATAGAATTTTCGGATGCTCCAACGAATTTCGGAGGATGTTTAGTTCAAACTTCGCTCGCAGCTTTGAGGCCTCACTTTTACAGACGTCTCGTTGCCGCTTATATTCCTGTAAGTGTTCGTTGGAGCCAGTTAGTCTGTAACGCCTCCACAGACAATTTTTTCCTGAAAGAGGCCTTCAAGTCCGGGATTATCCATTTTGGGCGGTTTGTGATTGTCTTCTTTCTGAGAGGACAATTGGAATAAACAATCTCTTTCAGTAAGGAACTGAAAGTATTCCAGTTGTCATTTGCTCGACCATTCAGTTCAGTCACCCATGATATAGCTGCCGCTTCCCTCCTCATGAGAGAATATTCCCCTTTCCAAATGTTTCTCTCCCACCTCTCGGGTTGGACGGGTTTGGAAAACAGTGAGTACTCGAAGTAGAGCGTGATGTGGTCGCTTGACCCTAATGGCTGTCGGTCCTGCAGGTCTAATACATTTTCCTCCTCTCGGGTAAAAATAAGATCAAGGCAGTTCGACTGCTGTCATTCCCTGGCCCGTGTTCCAAAGGTAACATTCTGGCAGAGAAGTTTGTCCGTTGAGTATGCATATACGGATTTCAGTCAGTAAATGACGCACTCAAGTCCTTCATGATTCGAGCACGCGCTCAATAGCAAATCATTCTGGTCCCCTAGCTGCCTAACGACAGCGTAGGTATCATTTCTTACTGGTCGGTAAATTAGAGTTGCGATAATTCCCATTGTAAAATTCAAAAGGCAATTTGGCGAGCATACGTCTACTGTCGAAAAATTCTCCTTAGGCCTCTACATTTATATGACTATTGAGGTAACGAAAATGAGAGTAGATTCCGAGGATCATTAATACCACATTTGCGGAAGTTGCCTTCTAAACCCATCCGAACAAAAAGAACTTAGATTCGACATTTTGTTTTTTCTCAATCCCTCCTTTCATTGCGATAGGACGGCCAAAAGCGCGACCGGTGTCCTGTTTGCCATTAAAAGAACCGTTATATATGTAGACAAATGACTACTTGGTAAATTATTTGGAGCCTTTATTCGTTCGCAACTGGATTATGGAATCCAAACGTGGCACTTTTGGCTGAAGGAAGACTATAGGTTTTTGGAAAGAGCTCAGAAGAGGGCAGTCGAAACTGTGAAAGGCCAAAAGACTTTATCTCACAGCTGCAGAACTTAAAGGGTGAGAATATCGGGCCAGTCGGAAGACCGAACTGCGTGCTCGCTCCGGGGGCGTGGCATTCAACTTGGGGCTCGATAAGTCGATAGCTAGTTTTGCTAGTCGCTTATCAAGCACTCTGTGAACAAATCAGCGGCGCAGCTGGAGGTCTTTCACGTCAGACGATCGCAAAATTTTGCTCAAAGCTAGACAATTAGAAAAGTGTGCGATTCGAAAATGTTTTGCGCGAGAACAATTAGCTTTTCTACATGAGTGCCGAAACAAAAATAGTATACCAATTTCTTTGCGCGTAAGACCTTCCGTGAAATCTACGCTAGGATAGCGAATTGCATCTCGTTACGGACAAAGCATGCTTAATGCATTCACAAATTATGCCCACTGCCGACATCGAAAATTTCAGGTTCCGAGGGAGCAATACATGACATTTTGCCGCGATACTCCTCCTCTGGACTTAGTTAAATTTCTGAACGTAACAGTCGTCTAGGCATCAGAATTAGATCAAGAAAAGAAAAGGAGGATTTTAGACAAAAATGACTGGTAATTTCCCAGACAGCTTATGCAAATCCCTAGTCTTCTGCAAATATAGTAAATCTATCCTCGAGAGTCTGTAGCGGGCAACCAACATGACCGGTCTGGTGTTATTGTTCACGACCTCGCTGCTTCAAGGTCATTTGCCCGTTGAGACGAGCCGTCCCAGACGCGATAACCTGAAGCCACTCGACCGACTTCAGCTTGAACACAATTGCGTCCTCGCAGTGTCGCTGCTACCTATGCGGCCACTTGAACGCATCTCCCTTTGCAGCCAGCAATCCAAGTCTCTGGGACACCATCCCTCGGCAAGTGCAAAATATACTGGTTGGGCGCCACTTGAGCTTGGTCCAGAGCTTATAAAAGCGGCTGCCACCACTATCTCAGGTGCTATCAGGCGTCACTGCACGCAGTCAAAATCAGCCCTGGCTTCGCCAGTGGCCACTACCGCCCGAGAGGACAACTTCGGGTTCTGTGCACAAGAAACCCCTCATTATGGTGCCTTCCGTCTCCCTACGACTTGGGACTTGACCTGGTGGTTGTAGCGCTCAGAGAACATATTCCGGCCGCTTAGCACCAACAAGTCCTAGCAAAAACGGAGGAGAATCTGTTTTCCAAAGGAATGAAATGTAATCGTTCCGATTCGAACTACTCGGCCTTCCTTGCAAACTTTAAACGCATCATATCTGCGGCGGAACTTGCGGAAGGTGAGCAACTTATAATCCGAAGCTGTACTTTACGGTCCTTAAGAGTTCGGAATCACCTTTCAGCGCTACCACATGAAAAGAGAAAAGCATTTAAAAAATTTGAAACTAACAAGTACCTTGCCATTCTTCCCACAGACAAAGGAGGCTTAACTGCGATTTTGAGCAAATAAGACTACAATAGGAAGACGGTGGGACTTTTAGAAGATAGCTTAACATATAAGCCTCTTTCTACCGACCCTACGAAGGGACAGAACTCGTCCATTGATAGAGTACTAAAGTGCCTCATAGGAATGAAAAAACTGTCAGGGTGTATCATACTCCAAGAGTCTTAATCTTTCCGAACACTGCGCTCTGATAGTCTCCGAAGCGCGTGCAGCGACCGGGTTTATCTTTCGAAATTTTAAAATTGACGATATAGGGGTGTGCCTTTATAAAATGTACGTTAGACCTGGCGTGGAATACTATTCGTTTTCATTTAGCCTCATGCGTGCTGCTGAGTGGAATAAAATATAAACTGTTCAACATTTTCACCAAGAGAGTTTTTGTCTCGAGACGCCGGAATTTGACTTACCAGTGTTGCGAGTTTACAGGTCTTGATCTCTTGTGGTTTCGCAAATTACAAAAGGTGTTATTTTTACTATTTAAACTTTTAAACAATTGTACTTTCAACACGCTTACTATTTCAAGACATCTTGATCACCTTTGACATAACAGTCATCGTGGGATTTTTTATTTCTTCATCTGGCACGTACCGTTAAACACCGCCAGTTCTTTTCTGTGAACACAATTTTAATTTAGAACACATTACACAGCAATGAGAAGATTCTGCAAACTTCTTCGTTGTTTAAGCGAACTATTACTTCCTTCTTGCATTCAGAAAAATTCTCTCAAATCTTATGCGCGGAGTCCCTCGATTTTAAATTAAATTAAATTGAAAATTAAATTATTTTTATTAAAGACCCGTCGGGGTCCCATCAAAGCAAGTAAAAATAAATTTACAGGCAAATTTTAGAAGAGGTAGGCAAAATCTGTACAAAGTGCAATACAATGTTTTTGAGATTAGAAGTCCGTTAAGCAAAATGAAAAACGAGGGGTGAAAAAAAAACTCCAGAGCAAAATTTAAAAATGACAATGTGTGTCAACAGCGAGCACTAGGTTCAGTCGCCAGCAAAATGTAGTTATAAAGGGAGTACCCGAATCAACGGCAACAATTCCAAAGGAGAGAGTTAAGCATGACTTAGACCTTCTTCAAGTGTATGCGAAAACTTTGTTAAGAGACGATGAGTCACTAAGTGTTCTCAAAGCATTCCGAATAGGGAAGAGTCAGTCAGCATCCGGTTCCAATTCCCGGCCTCGACCCCTAAAAGTCATTTTGGAGACTGAAGCGCAGGCCCAGCTTCTGTTACAGAGAAAATCATCTCTACGGGGTCAGCATCCTGAAGTTTTTTTCAGCCGGATTACGAGCCAAAAGAGCGAATGAAAATGAGAGAGCTGATAACGGAGCTGGAAAAGCGGAGAAACAGCGGCGAAACACACCTACAAATCAAGAATGGACAAATAATTCAGGTCAAACGGACATTTCTCTGGCCGAAGGCCGTCATTCTGCCAGCCTAACCGACGCAAAGGTGCCAACTCCTGAGGCTGCTCGAACCAGTGGCCGCTGTCTAGAAATCTACTACACTAACTGTCAGAGTCTTCTCAACAAGCTAGATGAACTCAGATTACTAGTTTCTGAACAGAATCCACACATAATTGTCCTAACAGGGACATGGTTGACTGAGGAAATGAGTAGTAGCGAAGTCAGAATTGAAGGCTACCAACTGTTCCGTTGTGACAGATTTCACCGTAGAGGTGGAGGCACAGCTATTTATGTGTCAAATGAAATTGCGTGCTGTCAACGAGAAATATCCGATGGGGCGCCCCGAAATTTTGAAATAATTTCATGCAAGATATGCATCAAACAATTACCGACACTGAACCTGTGTGTTGTCTATAGGCCTCCCAGCTTGAATGAAATCGCCGATATGGAATTACTTAGTGTACTGGAGTTGTTATGTAAGCAGGAGAACTTACTACTTCTGGGTGACTTCAACGCTCCAGGAATAGACTGGAACATTCCCCTAACAAACGCCCCGTCCACGTCATTTGATCACAAGCTACTACAGCTCTCCCTGAATGAATACCTCATTCAGCACATAAAATTCGGAACAAGAATGAGAGAAGGACAACGATCTAACTGTTTAGATCTCGTTTTCAGTAAAGAAGAAGGACTCATAAAGGAAGTTAATCCACAACCTCCACTTGGTTTAAGCGATCATATTGCTTTTACCTGCGTGTGCTCTGTCCTATCCAACCAACAACCAAAAATCAAGACGCGCAGAAATACTTGGAAGGGTGACTTTAACGCAATGAGACGCACTCTTTTGGAGGAAACCTGGTTGGTCAACAAAGAAGACTCAGACGAATTTTGGCAATACTTTCGCGGGATTATGGAGCGTCTGATTGATTCCCATTGTCCAATAAAAATGAAAAGACCATGTATGCGACCGCCGTGGGTCAATCCGACGACAAAAAAGACCATGAAAACGAAACAGAGACTCTGGAAAAAGTATTTGCAACTTCGAGATCCAAGGTCACTCGCCGAATATAAAGATCAGCGCAATAAATGCCGCAAAGAAATACGGGTTGCTAGAACTTCTTTCGAGCGTCGACTGATAGCAGAATCCATTACATGTGCCAAGAAGTTTTACGGGTACATCCGCAGTAGGAGGAAACATAGGGACGAAATTGCGTGTCTAAAGGATAGCCTCGGAAACTTATTAGTTGAAGGGTCACAGAAAGTGCGATTACTCTCTCAGATTTTTCAATCGGTTTTTACGGAGGTGTCCCTAGAAGACAATCAGCAGTTTGAAATGGACCGAGACAGCCGGGAGCTTCAAATGCGCCAAAATATTGCCGTCATTAAAACCGTCGCCTTTTCCGTGGAAGAAGTCAGACGCGTCCTCAGTCAAATAAAACCTGATAAGTCTCCTGGACCCGACGGAATTCCCGGGCTGATACTTAAGGAGCTATCAACGGAGCTGTCAAAGCCTCTTTCGACTCTCTTTGAGCTGTCAATGAGAACAGGAAGGCCGCCCTCACAGTGGAAGACAGCTAACCTCGTTCCATTGCATAAGGGAGGTAGCAGGATGACAGCAAGCAGCTTTCGACCTATTAGCTTAACTTGCCTCCCTTGCAAAACGATGGAAGCTATAGTAAAGAACGCTATACAGCAATTTTGTGAAGAAAATAACATCTTACAGGATTTTCAACATGGCTTCAGGAGAGGACGTTCCTGCCTCTCAAATCTGCTAGCTTGTCTGGAAATCTGGACCAGGGCTCTAGAAAAGGGTTTTGAGGTCGATGTCGTGTACATCGATTTCCGCAAAGCTTTTGACACTGTCCCACACCAACGTCTTCTTCACAAATTGAGCGACATCGGCATCCGGGGAGATCTTCTGAACTGGATTAGGGCGTTTCTGGTTGGTCGGAAACAACGCGTCTGTATCGGGGATGATATGTCAGAATGGGTGAATGTGACCAGTGGTGTGCCGCAAGGCTCAGTTCTGGGACCATTGCTCTTCATCCTTTACGTTAACGACAGCCTTCAGGAACTCGACTGCGGCAAAATAATGTTTGCAGACGACGTTAAACTCTGGCAAGTCATTAAGGGTCCGACTGATCAGACATCTCTTCAAGATAATCTGCACCGACTGCAAGCGTGGTCGAAGAAATGACTTCTAGATTTCAATGTGGAGAAGTGTGCCGTCCTTCATCTGCGTCCAACCAACTCTCATTCAAATGAGAGTCTGAGGATTTATCACCTGAAAGATATAAGGCTCCCCGCAGAATCTTCACAGAAGGATCTCGGAGTTTGGATACAGAACAACCTGAAACCAACACTGCAGTGTCACAAGGCTTCAAAAAACGCCATAGGAGTGCTGCATGCAATAAAAAGGGCTTTCGTAAATTTTGACCAAGACCTTTTTGGGAGAGTTTACGGCACATTTGTTCGGCCCCACTTAGAATATGGCATACAAGCATGGCGGCCATGGCTGGTAAAGGACCAAGAATGCCTCGAACGGGTACGACGGCGTGCAACAAAGGTGGTAAACGGTCTAAAAAGCCATTCCTACACAGACAGACTGAATTGCCTTAATTTATTCCCTCTGTGTTACAGGCAGCAAAGAGGTGACCTTATCCTCGTCTACAAGATAATATACGGCCTTGAGTATGGACTTACATTTGAGGACATGTTTCAGTGGCATCTTTCACCCAATCTTCGTGGTCACTCGATGAAGTTACGGACAACAATGTCCATGCTGAATCTTCGTTCTGTGTTCTTCACGCAGAGGGTAGTGGAGAAATGGAACGATCTCCCTCAGTCAGTCGTGGAGGCTACATCCATGCAACTCTTCAAGAAACGCTTGGATGATTATTTGTGTCCCCTGTTTTCCCTCGACGGTCTGAATCTGAACTAATACCCCTGGTCCCCACAAATATTTCCTCTGAGACAATGCTACTCAAATGAACCAAGTACTGTTTTTATAGTGAATATTTTTTGTTCGTGTACAGTTATTTCTAACGAGCTGACATGTAATCAATAGGGTTTTCAAAGGCTTTGCCTATTATCCTTACCAAATAAACTGAATAAACTAAACTGAATAAACTGAATTAACAGTAGAAAAAAACCCTCAAAAATAGCATCAGAAAAATGCAGGGAGGACTGTCCTGCATGTGGCGGTACAGAATGGAATATAGTCGGACATCAACATGGCCGAAATAAATGTCAGCTGAATATGGCATTGTGTAACGGATTTCATAAAATGGTACGTAGGAGGGTCGGTCAGGACTGGCCTGTATCGCCTTGAATAAGAAAAATAAGTGGAGAAATTAAAAACCAGTCTCGAGGCGATAGGAACCCAGATGCGGTCGGTTTCATACAACCGAGACCGCCGATGGAGCGCATTCTGTAAGGGCACGATGACAACCAGTCTTGAGGCTACAAGAACCCAGATGTAGTCGGTTACATTCATCCGAGTCCAACCGAGGATGGGGTAAGGGAGATGCGACCAGACTACTAGTAGATGGCGAATACAGAAGGTTTCACCAAGAGCATCGATGGTGCGCATTCTGTGAGGGCACGATGCATGAACTGGAAAATTGGAATAAATTAACATTTCTGGTGAGGGATCTTAGGTAGCGAGACTACTGATAAAGGGAGGAAACGTTAACAGATACGGAAATTTAATAGCGGCATGCTAAATTACCGATGGCCCTTTCTCAGTGTTATAGAAAAAGTTGTCTGGGAAGGATGAGGAAAATAAAAGTTTAATCGAGTCAGTAGTCAGATAAAGGCGTAGCCTTCTCTTAAAGGTGTGTAGATTTTCTGAAGATCTTATATTTATTGGAAGCTTATTCCAGAGGAAAGTAAACCTGAAAGCGAAAAAAGGGAGCGCATAGAGGTGGAAGACGCTGGAGGAGGTATAATTAGAGACGAATTGCGAAGATTGTAAGGGCGACTACTAGGGGTAAGTGCTGAACTATGATTGAACTATGATTGATGCGAAAGAGGAGACAGAAACCCGCTTCTAGTCTTCAAAGCCATAAAAATTTTAGGTTAGTTAGGTGGCATCTATCTGATTAGGAGATATTGGGATGTTCCCTATCTAAAAGTTTATTTGAAAAACGTCTTTGGACATTTTCTATTTTAAAACGACTGGCTTCATTCACCAAACCAAAGAATGGGCAACAATATTCGGGAATGGGAAGTACAAACATACGATAGAGCCCTAATTTAATTTCAGGAAGATAGAAATTGTAAGAAATAAAGCCACATATTTGGGTAGCTTTGGCTGTAATTCTGTCAGCGTGCGGCGAGAGATCAAGATTACTAGTGTAGTTTAATCCTAAATCCTTGATGGTGGTACATTCAGTCATAGGTGTGCCTTGAAAGACCACTGGTTGGGGTAGCCCATCAGGTCCAAAACACATATAACGACATTCAGACGGAGAGAATTCCATTAGCCATTTTGAGCTCCAAGCTGAGAGAGCAAGCAAGTCAGCATGGATTTGCTCCAGGCAATGAAGGATCGTAGATTTATTGAAAGAATATACACATTTGAGATCATCAGCATAAATAAGTGATTGAGAATGTTTAACTGCTGCTGAAATATCATTTATGTAAAGCAAGAACAAAAGAGGACCTAAAACGGTACCTTGTAGGACACCGCTTACAATAGGACTTTCACTGGAAAGTGAAGATCCCACCAAAACCTTTTGTTTACGATTAGACAGGTATGACCTGAGAAAGTCTATTAGTGGACTGCGAATTCCCATGGCTTCCAATTTAATCAAGAGTCTTTTATGTGGCACTTTATCAAAGGCTTTACTAAGATCAAAATAAATAACGACAGCAGATAGATCGTCATTACGAAGAGAGGTAAGTAGATTGAGAAACGACAGATGACATGTTTCACAAGAGCGATCTGGTAAAAAACCATGCTGCGAAGGGCTAATCACTTGATTGGCTATGCGAAATTCGGTAATTTTTACGACGATTATTTTTTTCAAAGATTATGGCGAGAGAGGGTGTTTTATGAACACCTCGATAGTTCTGTACGTCAGAACGACAGCCAGACTTAAATACTGGAATACTAAAGGAAGTTTTCCAATAGTCAGGGAAGAAGCCATTTACGAGAAATACTGAAAAGATTTTGCTAAGCAGAGGAGGAAAAGCTCTTAGCTTTTTTATCAAAGAGTTTGAGATATTGTCCGTACCTACTGAATGAGAGTTATGAAGATGGCTTATCAGTTTTTGAATACATTCAGGAGAAAAATTAATTAAGCTAAGAGAAGCATCAGACAACGAAGGAATTAAAGGGGTCGGATCAGTTTCAATGGTGAAATGCTTGGCAAAGAACGAATTTTATCTACCGTGTTGATTTAGTTCGTGGTCTATGATGCCCTTGACCGGTCTCATCCCGTGAGAAATGGTGTTGACTCCTCAACCCGCAACAACAGGGACAATTTTTTCAGCCGACAGAGAGCAACTGTCCTTCAATGCTTCTGACTGGTTCAGTCCACATTTCATAAAAACGGATGGAGACTGAAATTATCCGGTTCAGATTTACCCATAACTATCTGGACTGACTTCAGTTCACGGCCAACAGTTTTTCTCCTGATTACTCCAGGCTACACAAAAACACCATTCTCTGTATTTACTCCTCAGGAGTCTTCTTAACTTTTACCCCGATCCGTACTTTATTTTTCTTTGACTATGCCCTAAACTGGCGTTAACTAAAATTATTATTATTACTACTGATATCTGCACCTAGCCACGCGTTGGCGTGACTCAGTCTGATGAAATGTAAAAAATAAAAAAGGGAGGGGCACTTTTCTAATAAATTTAATTTCATAATCTCAGAGGAGGCGGTGACAGCCCCATCATGTGGGTTGTGAGGCAAGTTCAAGTGACGCCCAAAGATCGCATATTTTTGGCATCAGGGGTAGTCTGCCAAACGACCCATCCTACATCGTCCTAGGGGAGGGGACAAGTTCAAGTGTCTGCAGGGACGTGAGCGCGGCCGTCGGGGCGCACGTGTATCCGAGTGTATGTCGGTGAAGTGGCAGCAGGCCAGCGCGTCTGGAAATTCCCTCCCCTGTTTTTTTGATCAACAGATGGCGTTGTTAAGAAAGAAATGCGTGTTTTTACTCGACACAGGCATGCTAATTGCATAATTAAGAAATTAGGCATATATAAACCCGCCTCCATGCTCATCCAAGGTTGTGTCAACTTCCCAATGCCATCAGTGCAGTACATTTGGGAGATTAGCGATTAGAAACAACAGAACATTTCCATTTTTATTTATATAGTTTATTATTAAAGTCCCTCAGCCAATCCGAGCCAACCATCGTCAAGGTCTACGAACTGCCCAAAGTTCACAAACCTGAAGGGCCAGTGTGACCAATAGTAACATTGGCGGCTGCACCAAATTACAAGATTTCTAAGTGGCCATTCTAGCAACTCCACCCACATACAAGAGACAGCAAAAGTCCCATTTAGAACCTTACGGAGTTTCTAGAGAAATTTAGGAGAATCGCAATTTCCGTGGATGAGATAGTGGCCTCCGCAGACGTCGTTTATTTATTCGCATCCATACCGCCAGATGTCAGAAGACAATGAACAAATGAACTTCTTAAGTCCTATGACACGGATGTTACCGCAGGTACCTTACTCAAATTATAGGCCTTTGTTTAAAAACCAGTTCTTCGTTCAACGACCAATACTACCAACAAATAAAGTTATTCCACTGGGGTCACCTTTATCTGGCTTGCTTGCCGAGAGGACAGTGCAGAAACTAGAATAGTCAGTTCTTCAGTTTGTTAACTCTGACTTGTGGATGCAATATGTAGTCGACACATTCGTTGTCGTTAAAAGGATTGGCTGGGAACACTCCAAAACACCGCCAACTCAACCAATCCGTGAACTAAATTCACGCTCGACAAAGAAGTTGACGATAAACTCCCCTTTACAAATATTCTCGTACAGCGAAAGACTAACAGGAAATTACCCGTTTCCGTTTACCAAAAAGCAGTATTGGCGGAAGTACTTCTACGCCATGAGAGCAACCGCCTGACCAATCACAATCGGAGTACTGCAAATAAATAAATAAATAAAATTACTATCATAAGTTTGTCACATCGAGCAGAAACACCTTGGTCTGATAAAAAGGCT